TTGACTTGCCAAATTAGATGGAGAGTTAGCCAAATAAATATTTGGAGAGTTGGATTTGGAGAGACAGTTGGAGATGCTCTACTCGGCCATCTTTTTTATTTCTTTTGTCTCGTATGGCCAGCTTAACCTTTTGCTCTAGATTACTACTGTATTTTAAGCCTGACAGGTAAAGGCCATGAACTAAAACGTAGTGACAGTTTTGGTGCTAAAGTTTATTCATGGTGTGATCTTGTGCCATGACTAAATGCTGAGCAAAAACGAAACATAAGAACCCAGTTAGTACATAAGGAGATCCACTTCATAAGAGTTCAATTGGACTCCTTTAAAACGCAAGAATTTGCCGGATTCCTTCGAAATTTTTCTAAGATTCCTGTGTGCAATTAAAGAATCTCTAGTTTCAGACAGACCCTGGCCCTGATGATCTGATCTACACGAGTGCCATTTACAAGCTTAACTACTTTAAAGGCTCAGGCACATGACAGCAATGTTTAACTACACAAGTTGATTTGTTCATTTCATCGGAGAGGGAGTGTCCCTGCAATTGCATATGCAGTATAGCAGCTTTAACTTGTGATAAGAATGCAGGTGGTGTTGGGTAGCTTTTGCTAATTCCAAGGTAGAAGATCTCCTGCCTGATAGTATCTCCTTTCCTTCTTAGAGCAAGTTTAATAGTATAGTCAACTACTAGCTCCAAATCATCTATAACCAATGTAATAGCTAATTCATATAATAGTTGCTTATTATACTATTAATACTTGATCTTACTTGTCATACATAAATTACGTCTTAGAGTCCGTGCTACAGCTGGCTACAAATTTGTAGCCTACTTCTCTTCTCTCTTCTTTTATCTCTTTAAAATATGTTTATAGCTGGCTTATAGCCTGCTATTGTACATGCTCTCACATGCATCCATGCAGCTCTCTCTGCTGCACTGCATGCTCGTCTTGTTGCCTTTGCTCCTCTCCCCCTCTTGTGATCGTGGAGTGCAGTTGATGGCCAAAAGAAAGAGAAGAAAAATAAGATGATATTGCAGCCTGCAGCCACTTGTGGTTGTGGAGTGCAGTTGATGGCCAAAAGAAAGAGAAGAAAATGAAGATGATATATATTGCAGCCTGCAACCACTTGGCTTAGGCCCTGTTTAGATGGGACTAAAACTTTTGAGTCCCTATCACATCGGATGTTTGAATATTAATTATAAATATTAAACGTAGACTATTAATAAAACCCATCTATAATCTTGGACTAATTCGCGAGACGAATCTATTGAGCCTAACTAATCCATGATTAGCCTATGTGATGCTACAGTAAACATTCTCCAATTATGGATTAATTAGGCTTAAAAAAATTGTCTCGTGAATTAGCTTTCATTTATGTAATTAGTTTTGTAAGTAGTCTATATTTAATACTCTAAATTAGTGTCTAAAGACAAGGACTAAAGTTAAGTCCCTGGATCCAAACACCACCTTAGCTTGATCAGTCCCCAGTTGCTGCTGCCTGCTGCTGGTGTTTGGTGGTAGGCTCGGCCTGCAGCTACACACCCGTGTGATATGGTTGTGTGCACATGCTGCTGGACATGCATTGCATATTTGCATGGACAGATATTAGCCGATGCCCACCATCTTATCTTTTTCTGTCTGTGGTCCTTCCTCTTATAATGCTCCTTCTACAAGCTAGCATGAAGCACATTTCCTCAATCTCCCATTTTCATGCCAACTTGTTCTTTTTTTATTGTTATTTTGATAAGATTTTTGTGTGTGCAAAGATAGGCAGCATGCTCTTATGGCACATTTTAGAACATAGGATTCTCAAAACAGGGAATAAAAAAAATACAGGAGTAGAATGTCTTAGCACTTCACATCTTATGAATGATAAAGCACGGAAAAGTTACACGAGTAGTCATTTGGATGGAGCACAAGAGAGGGATACAGATAGACACAAATATTTTCATGAGGTTGAACCTCATGTTACTAATCCTGATTTTGGCTATTTCTAAGGCATTCCTTTTGTTGGCAAGTTTTTCATAGGATTCTTTTCCAATAAAATTCCTTCAAAAATCTTTTGATCCAAGGAGCCTTATTTTATATTCTCTTATTTGTGTAAGATTAGACAATGTACTTTGTTGGTAGTAGAAGCAGAAAAGTTTGTAGTTTTGTTCAAGGGATAAATGAGAACAAGAAAAGCTTGTTGATATACAGTTCCTCTTAGTTTAAATGGATTTACTACAATTGTCTCTCTCTATCTTAGAAATCTAGTATAACATTTTAATAAGATTTCATTTTGAGCTTACCATATTTCCTATTTCTGCTGAGACAAGAAATAAGTGGCTGTACTATCATGCATGCATGGCTTATATCATGGCCAAACAGTATTGTATCACTAAAAGGGGAAACATGGAAAAGAAACATCCTCCCAAGTCATGATCCGATTTTGTTGTACCAAAAAGAATTGAAAAAAATTGTGATGGTGATAACAATAAAGCTTTTGGTGTTCATCCCTACAGAGCTTGCATATCAAGAAATGTGACAATAACAACAGTGCAACTAATCTTCTAGAATAATAAAAGTTTCCACAGGCAAAAAAAAAGAGAGTAAATTTCATAAAACTACAGGTATTTTGATCAATTTATCACAAAACTACAGGTTTAATGCTAAATTTATCACAAAACTATAGATTTAAGATGTAATATCACAAAACTACATATTTAGTAACAAAGTTATCACAAAACTACAGGTTTATTGATAATTTAATCACATTACTTGAACAATTATATGTCCAACATAACATTAGTACTAAGGATTTAAGCCCTAAAATCTGTAGTTTTGTGATAATTTTATTATTAAATATGTAGTTTTGCGATACTTAGTCTTAAACCTATAGTTTTGTGATAAATTTATTGTTAAATCTGTAGTTCTGTGATACATCACCTTAAATCTGTAGTTTTGGAATAATTTAAACAAAGCACCTGTAGTTTTGTGAAATTTACTAAAAAAAACAGCGCCAGCTCCAATGATTCTCTCTCTCTTTTTTTGCAGAAAAAATAAACACAATTTCCCTTTAATTTGGTTTCATCAAATCCATAAGTTATGTTACTTCACTTGTGAATGGAAATTATCCCAACAAGAGGAATCTTTGGGAGGTGGTGGATCCCATTGCTCATGGTTCGTACTTTTGTAGTACATATATGGTACTGGTTTCCAAATAAATCCATCAACTCAATTATTACGTAGGTAGGTTGTTCTATGATTTATGCTACGTGGAGTGAGACTTTATCTAGGAACAGAGGAATTTCAAATAAATCAAAGTTAGGGCCTGTTTAGTTGGGAAAAAAAATTACCCCTACATATCACATCGGATATATGGACACACATTTGAAGTATTAAACGTAGTCTAATAACAAACAAATTACATATTCCACTAGGAAACTGCGAGACAAATTTATTAAGCCTAATTAATCTAACATTAGCAAATGTTTACTATAGCAACATATTATCAAATCATGGCGCAATTAGGCTTAAAAGATTTATCTCACAATTTCCTGGCGAACTGTGTAATTAGTTTTTTTTACATTTAATACTCCATGCATGTGTTTAAACATTCGAGGTGATAGCGTGAAAATTTTATTTGGGAACTAAACAGACCGTTAGAGTAAAAATATATTAGAAGTTGGGAATAATGTATTTTTCATTTTGCAAAACACAAATATTACCATGAGAGTGTTTATCAAAGCGAGTACAATAAGATGATGTAAGCGAGCTCTACATATTGCCACATCATATTTATACTTACGTGGAGGAGAGAGAAAAAACAGACTACAAATTTATAGCCAGCTGCACCATGAGTTCCAATAACCTATGTGGGATAAAAATGTGAGGTATGCATTAGTGGTGTAATATGTATCTATAGGTAAATATTCTATAGATGACATGGGTTAATTTTTTAAGCTAATACCCCCTCCGTATTAAAATATAAGAGATTTTAGATGATGTGATATATGATCATGAATCTAGATAGGATATATCACATCCATTTAAAATCCCTTATATTTTAGGACGGAGGAAGTAGATGATTATGTTATGGGGGCTGTCTAGATGGCATTTGACAGAAAAACACCTCACAAATCATGCGAATTCTAGACCGTTGGATCGCTTTAAGATTCGTGCTGCAGTTCTAACCCTAACCCCTCTCCCTCCCCTCGTCATTCCAGGCTGCTGCCGCATCTCTCTCACATGCGGGCTGCCTCCGCCGCCGCCCCACGTGCCACTGCCCGGACTCGCCGGCTGGCCAGAAGGGGTCAACGGCACCGGCGAGCCCCCTTCCTCCCCTCCCCCGGCCGGCCTTCTCCCCTACCCCCTACCCCCTCTCTTCCCCAACAGACGACGCGAGTGCCCCCGCCCCGCCGTCTTCCCCGTCTCCGGCGGCTTCCCGCCGCCGGATCCGCTACCACTAGCCACCGCCTCCTAACCACTAGCCGCCAGATCCGCCGTCTCCTAGCCGTTTGCCCCCGCCGCCGACGCCGGCCCACCGCCCTCCTCCATCCCCGCGGCTTCGGCGCCGCCACCGGCACCTCGCCGCCCGCCCATGTCCACCGCCCACCGCCGGGCCGCCGCCTCCCACGGCCATCCCTCTAAGCCCGGCGATCCCCCCTCTTCCACCTCCCCCCAACCCCCCTCTCACCCCCATCCCAACCCGGGACCCTAAACCCTAATTCCATGGTTGTTGTCGGGGTCGCCGGAGTTGGAGAAGGTGTCGCCGGAGTTGGAGGAGAAGAGCTAAGGTCGCCGGAGCACGAATCGCAGAGCAAATCCCATGGTTAGTAATCTGCATGATTTTGAGCTCAAAAAATCATTCGACAGCCATTTAGCAATTCCGTTATGGGTTATTAAACTTGTTAATATGTGGTTAGTATTAAAAGGTGATTAACCAACCAATCCATAGTGTAGTGAAATGGCAGTGCTTTTTAAAGGAGACCCACACCAAACAGCAGCAGAGAGCAGAGTCTCTTGCTCCCATCTATCTCTGTCTCTGTCTGTCAATCTCACGCACACCAGCACAGCCTTTTCTTCTCTTCCTCCTCCAGTTAACGGTTGCTGCCCCCCTCTCGCTCTCCCACCACCGTCCATCCCACTTCCACGCGCACACAGCAAAGCAAACCAACACCAAACCAAACCAAAGCAAGCTTCGTTTCCGCTGCCCCCCCACAGGCCACTGGAGGATGAAGAGCACGCAGCATCGCCTCTACCGGCGGCGCATGGCATAGGCATCGCCTGCCCCCACCCCGCCCCCGCCCAAGAATGAGAGCTTGGGCCTCCACTACAAGAGATAGAGACAGACCCACCACCATCAAGAACATCAGGAGGAGAAGTAGATAGATGGGCAACTGCGGGACGCGAGAGGAGAATGCCGTCGTTGCGGCGCACGCCCAAGGTATTCTTCGCTTCCTCGGATTTGATTTCTTGGGGGATTTCCCGGTGATTGTTTTCTTGGGATGCTGGTTGTTGGGATGGGATCTCGGGTTGGATGATCTGAATTTCATCAAAAAAAATTGATCTTGGTGGTTATTTCTGGGTTCCCCTGATCTCTAGGACTCTAGGTTGGTGGGTTCAGTGGGGAATTGACAAAAGCACTGTCTTTCCTTTTTGCTATATATGATGACTTATGTTATTGGGACCTTTGGATGGGTGTTTTGGTTGCAAATGTTCATTCTTGTTAGGGCTATTCCAAATCGGCATTTTGGTACTCTCCGGTTTAGGTTTGATTAAAATCTGATATCAACATTTGCTCCAAATCTTCAACATTGTTTTTCTGTTTGTTGCATATGAATGTTCAACATTGTTTTTCTGTTTGTTGCATATGGGGATTCTGGGATTTTGGTTTACAGTCTACATTTGCTCAACATCTTTTTTTTTCCTTTTTTTGCGGGGAAGCCCTCATCCCCTTAATCTTTCTGGTGTGGTTGCTCTGTGATTTCTTCTCTGCTGCATATCCTTATCTTCTTGGTTGCTGTATCAGAAATTCTGCTTCATTATGTTCATCGGGACAATTTACAGGCACTTCCCCCAATAGTGCTGCAATTTCTGTGCTCTCTGCTTCACTGAGGCACTGTTGACTTTCAGTTTAACAGAAAATAGAGTTATGATCCTGCAAGTTGGAAAAACATAATCACTTCTTGCAGTTTGCTGCATTGTTTAAGCAATTTGGAGCCCTTTTTTTATTGCATGCAACTCTGCAGTAGATCTGGTCTCCTGGTCCTGTTTACCTCTTTCTGTAATCAACTTGCCCATGTATGTACTTTTTTACAGTATTTTTAGGTAGAATACCATATTATAATTGCTAGGAATCGCCAACGCTCGTTTCCAGTAGTTCTCTTGTTAGTTTGTGATTATAGCTTCCCTAAACGTATTTCAGCAGGATTAGCTCTCTTTCATCCATCCATCTCTGTGAATGCTGAAAATTCAATATGAAAAAAAAAGCTTGCCTTTTATTTTGTTTGTACGAGAATTTCTGGTAACCTTAATTCGTTTATACCTTAACTATTTTTTCTTTCTTATTGTTGAAATGTCATCTTCTCAGTTCAGCAGCTCCATTTGTTACAACATCCTGTCAAGAATGCTGTTGCAGAGAGGAAGCACACCCGCATCTCATCAGATATGAGTGATCCTTCAACACCTAGGAAAATTGAAGATGCCAAGAACATCTCCATATACAATGATGTGATTGACTTCACATTGTTTGAACTCGAGACTATCACAAGGAGCTTCCGTGCTGACTACGTTCTTGGTGAAGGAGGGTTTGGGACTGTTTACAAGGGCTACATAGATGAGAATGTCAGGGTTGGTCTGAAGTCACTACCTGTTGCAGTCAAGGTGCTCAACAAAGATGGACATCAAGGACACAGAGAATGGCTTGTGAGTTGCCAACTTGTTCAATATTCACTATGGTTGCTGATGTCCGTTATGTACATGGATACGCGGAACATTAACAATTACTCGTACAAGAACATGATATATCTTAATTATGTAAATTATGGAAAAATATTTGTTGATGCTAACTATGTATTTCACAACAAATCAACAATGGCACATGCAGCATTTAGTTATACTCAAGTTAACAAGTACGCTAGCAAATAAATATACCATGCAAAATTCTGCTTTCATGTTTCTTAGTTTGTTCCCTTTTTGGAATAGAAAATTTCTCAAGAAGCTACAAGTCATAGTTAGAATGATTCATTGGGCTTGTATCATGAAGAAAAATGTGCACACTTGATAGGTTGATGAAGGCTAAAGTATTAATTTCATTGGCCGAATGCATGTAGACTGAGTCATACTGTTAAATAGCATATTTCTTGAATGTTTACAAACAGAACAGTGTATCTACACATGCTACAAATAGAACAGTGTATCTACACATGCTCGGAATAGGTGAAATTCTATTTCTTTTTTAAAGGAGAATAAGCAACATGTCCATAAACGAAACATGATATATTGAATTTGACTAAGCAATTTTGGCAGTTTTCGGGCATATTATTAACTTGGAAATTCATTACCTTTTCATTCTTGTCGTTATGTTAGAAGAATTATCAAGAAGTAACTCATCTTTTGTTTCTTTGTCAGACTGAGGTTAGGTTCCTTGGGCAGCTAAGACATCCAAATTTAGTCAAGTTGATTGGGTATTGCTGCGAAGATGACCACAGGCTGCTTGTGTACGAGTTCATGTTTCGAGGAAGTCTAGAAAACCACTTATTCCGAAGTAAGAATCCAACTCCTTTTCATCACTTCATGAATGATATCATGGCTGAATAGTTTCTGTGATCACACTTTTTAAATATATATGTTTCTCTCTATAATGCAATCAAGCACCATAGCTGAAGTTGACCATATTGTGGATAATAGAGTTGCAACGTTGTTCTATTAAATATCGTTGATATGAGCAAATGATCAGCGCTCTAGAACCTGGTATGGTAGGATTTCATTTCGACTTGCTGTTCACAAGGATTCCAAATTGTCCAGAGCTTTTTGACTGAACAACCGATTTAACTGTTCGCTGCTAGACCCTCAGTAAGTTTAGGCCCTCTTCATATTTATCATTCTTGGAAAACCTTATTGACGTGTTTTTAACAAGATTGCCCAAAGTGTCCAGTTAACCATCTGAATGATTTTCTTTGTTGGTATACTTAATAGAATCATTCGTGATAGTTAACTACCATGCATAGAGTATGCGAGCTACCCATACTTATCTGCTAAATATCTTCTGTATTTTTTCTTCCAAAATATATGAATACTATTGAATACTGGCATGTATGATTTGAAATGTTGGCACGGTATTTCATCAATTCATTTGTAGGTTAAGTAAATTATATGCCAAATAGGCCCAACACTGAATATTAGGCTGACTAAAGATTATGCTCAACTATATTTTTTTTCTTGTACATTGTGGTGAAATTGTATTCGAGAGTAGGAAATTTCCTGACATTGTCTGTGCTTTTCATTTTTCTTCTCAGGGACAGCTACTCCACTATCGTGGGCTACTAGGATGTCGATTGCATTAGGAGCTGCCAAAGGGTTAGCTTGCCTCCACAATGCTGAAAGGCCAATTATCTACAGGGATTTCAAGACATCAAATATTCTGCTGGACTCAGTTGAGTAGCATTTCTTGCCAATATCTTGTTTTTTTTCCTTTCTCTTCTATGCATCTGTTGGGAATATGTAAATATTTTTCATAATAGCATTTATCTTTTATTTGCACTTACACAGGATTATACTGCTAAACTCTCTGACTTTGGTCTGGCAAAAGCTGGCCCAGAAGGCGATCAAACCCATGTATCAACTCGGGTGATGGGAACATATGGTTATGCTGCCCCTGAATATGTGATGACTGGTACTCTCCTCATTTTATCTTTTTTAAGTTTTCTTCATTTTTTTTTTCTGAATAGCGTTATTACCCTTCATCAAAATGTGACCAGAAAGTTTACTAAGTGATATGCAAGTATGCAGTTTCTGTTTTGCCCTTGCAATTTCATCTGATGTATATATACCTATTGGGCAGGTCACTTGACTGCTAGAAGTGATGTCTACAGCTTTGGTGTTGTCCTTCTTGAACTCTTGACTGGGCGTAAGTCCATCGACAAGTCACGGCCCAGCAGGGAGCATAGCTTGGTTGACTGGGCCCTCCCGAAGCTGAACGACAAGAGGAGGCTTCTCCAAATCATTGACCCAAAACTGGAGGGACAGTATTCAGTTAGAGCTGCCCACAAAGCCTGCAGCCTAGCATACTACTGCTTGAGCCAAAACCCAAAGGCGAGGCCTCTTATGAGCGACGTCGTTGAGACTCTTGAACCATTGCAGGGCAGTGGTGGAAGTGATGGAGCTGTTCAATCTGTTCTTGGCAGTGGCCTTCCGAGCTACAGAGTAAACCGCAGACTAATGACGAACAGAGTCCACTGTAGGGCGCTTCCGAACCCCAAGTGCTCCCCTGCTGTCCCAGCATGCAGGGTGAGATGAGAGTGTGCTGTTTCAGTTGCTCCTGGAATAGGTTCAGTTGTACATTGCAAGTCTAAACCGTTGATGGTGCGTGAGTGTGCACACCTGCGCTGTGTGCTTTTGGGTTTTATCTTTTTTCTTTTTTTTTTTTGGCTTTCTCCCCCAGTTTTCAACCTGTAAATTTGCTCTGCATGGTGGTGCTTGTAAGGCCCTCTAATTTTCAGTGGTCTTATGTGTTGTTGACTGTGTTTTGCCCTGCCAAAACCGGCAAGGTTTAACCCCAGAAATGAAAGGCTGAACTAAGAGTGCAACGATGGTTGCTATGCTACTGAAACGTTGTCTGTCATCTGTATCTTGTTCCATGAATTGCCTACTTTCTTTGTGCATTTTTTGTTGAGCTTTACTTTCTGATATTAAATTGCTGGTGTTATGGTGTGTTTGTTTTCCTGACGTAGTGGTCATCTGTATTGCTGCTGTGAATCATTGTATAATTTGGTCCTATATACCTTATCATGATGTTATCAGTGTTTCTCGTATTCAAGGCTGCGTCAGTTTTGCACTCCAGGTGTTGTGTTTTCCCACGTCAACACTCTGTTTCACTCATTGTCTTTCTGTTCTTTTATTGTATACAGAACCAGTCATTATCTTTTCTCTTTTTTTGCTTTTGTAATTAACAAGGAGCCCTCATTGTCTTGTCATCTGTCATCCACCATGTTACTCCATTCCTAATTCTAAAGATGCCGACTTTGATGCAGCACTATGATAAATGTTTGGTCTCATCAGTCGGGACACTGATAACAAACAGCACTTCAGAGTGCTAAAATACAGTAACCATAGATTCCGCTTAATCTTTCAACTGAAAACTTCAGTCTAATTAACCATATTTTAAACCAAATTAATTAGCAGTTATTTTTCTGAGTCTATAACCATGTATATACTGTCTGAAGTAGATTCAGAGATGGTTTTAGAATTAAGGCAAAAAATTGTTAAGCGTATGGCCACCTGTCTGTTAGTATAATGCTGCAGTAAAGAGTAGTAATAAGCATATATAGACAACAGTGGTAGTCATTTTCAGTCACAAAAATACATACACTCTTATTGTACTGTAATTCACATGGTGCCCTTGAGCCATGGTCATCATCACCATCATCACTCGCACTTGCGTCGAAGGAGTGATTAGGAGATGGTTTTAGAATTAAGGCAAAAGATTGTGTGTGACGTGGATCAAGCCAGATAAGCATTTCAATGTTTTTATTTTTGAGAGAGAGCAGGGATAAGCATTTCAATTAGCAAATGAAAGGTGTCTGTTATAGCTTTTTCTGCAAGGACAATAATTAATGAATCTGAAAGTGTGTCGTCCTTGGAAGGAAGTTGGAAAGGAAGAACCACTCATTAATCAAACAAGTGTCACAAATTGTTGGTGCACTGACTGCCTGACTGGACAGGAATGTTGGTGCATTATCATGTCATAACTAAAAGATGCATGAAAATCAGTGAGCAATCATTTTCAAGAAAAATCATCAAGTGCACTGTTCCATTGTTGACAAGCAAGGTTTTTCGTCACAAAACAATTAAAACCGTATCCTTCCAAGTTCCAACATACAGGAAAATCTCTATAGGATGTGACTTGGTTAATTATCTAGTTACTGCTAGAGAGTTGGCGAGAATCGGTTGGGCACACAAATTAATTTGGAGAACAAAGAATGAATTAAACTAGAATCGGCTGTGCACACAAATTAATTTGGAGGACAAAGAATGAATTAAACTAAGTTCATAAAAGAAAATAATCAGAAGAGCGAAAAATACAAAGATCAGATGCGACAAGGACCAAGGTTGCATTGCAAACCATATTTGTTTGCTGGTGATATCTGATATATGCAACTTTAGAGAGCCAGCAAATGACGTATCTCTACCTAAAGAAAGATATTCCCCTTTGGTATTGACACAAAGGAACATCAATCGCTCTCATTAACTGGCACGCATAACGGTTGCTTCATCTGTCAACTGCTAATTAACTTTATGAAACGCTGATGCTTTTTAATCCTCTTCTTCCCCGGCCCATGCATATTCTCTCTGCTTTAATGGTGTGAAATTTCAGAACAAGAATCTAGTTTCCGCATACAGAGTTCCAGAAATTTCCGACTGGTCATCTCATCGATCATCCGCGATTCTTTTTTTAGTTTTCGATGGTGAACAGCCACACCGCTAGCTAGTTGACACATGTATGCAGTAGCAATATCTTGTTAGCTGAAAAGGAAGCAAGCAGGAAAGCAGCAAGCAGCTTTGTTGCCAAGCTGCTTGGCAGGTCACATTTTTCATTTCCGAGTTGATTAATTTGCAACCATCATGCATCCATGCAATTAACTAGTTATTTAAGCATATTAGTAAAATTGTGTGCAGTTTTTTTTCAAGGGGAATTGGAGCTATCAATTAGCCATGTCATGTGTAGGTGCGTTGCCTTGCAGATTATATAAATACGAGTGAAATTGACTTGAGGCGTCGAGTTGCCTTATTGCCAAACAATAGTACTATTCATTAGTAGTAGTATATCTGACCCAAAACCCAACCGTTTCCCCCTTTGCATTGCATCTCAGTGTTCTTCCATTCTTTCCAGAGAGACAAAGTAATTGACCATGGCAAAAGATCCTCATGTCTCCATCTCTCTCACCGGCCTCGCCATGGTCGTCTTCCTCATCTTCAGCTCCTCCTTCCTCCAGGCCGCCCAAGGTACGTACACACCTTCATCTTCACCTGCTTCATCATGCATCTTGGTGATCCTTCCAAAAGTCGATCGGATTCCATTAATTGATTTTCATGCATGCAGGACCAGACAAGAAGATGGTGATGAAGTACGACGTGCCGGTGAAGAGGTTGATGTACCGGCCGGCGGCGATCGGCACGGAGGCGGCGGCGTACGAGCCGTTCGAGCTGTGCATGGGCTGCCGGTGCTGCGCGTCGTCGAACGCGAGCAGCTGCGTGGACACCCGGTGCTGCTACGCCATCGACTGCAACATCCCCGGCAAGCCCTTCGGCGTCTGCGCCTTCTCCCCCCACACCTGCGACTGTGGCGCCACCAATTGCACCAGCCAGCAGCCATGACCACACACCTCTTGCTGCTGCTAATTCAATTCGATCTCTTCCATGATCAATATGCATATGCGCCTGAATTATTCAACGGTTTTCTGATGCGATTGCAAACGTATTAAGTTTTTTTTTTCAGAGATTCTTGGGACTAGATATGCTTAAGGATGTCATTGTTCCTGACACGGGCATGTTGATATCTGAATGTTTAACTGCATATAGAATCTTCAGAAAGGGATTAATTCTTGATCTACCAGTTCCACAAACAATTTATTCGTGCTTTAAATCTGGTTTTGCATTCTCTCTTATTAGAGAGTTAATTTTAGGGTGTGATCTGATTAATTGCTGTAGAACCCACTTTGATGTATGGATATGGTTGTGTAGACTACTAGCTAGACTGTAGAGAAAAGGCCGCTGTTTTGTTTGACTATTGGTGGACTAGTACCTAACACTGTTGTTGTTTGTATCCCCTTTCAAAGCCTGAATACTACAGTACGTGCCAAATAAATGATCAGCATTCAGCAAGGTGGATGGTCTAGAAATCAAGTTGGGCAGTCACAGGCCGGCACACGCTTGATTTGACAATCACTTGTTAGGTGGAAATGCAAATGAATTGTAGGTACAAACCCACAATGTTAGTAGCTTAATTAGCTCATCAGCTAAACGCCTAAACCTACTCTGAATTAACTTGAAATCTGAAACATACGTGATCGAGGGTACTCATTTCAGCACGATTAAGCACACAGCAATCAAGGTGCTAATATATAAGATGAAGATACTCTGTCTGCCTGTCTGTAAGTGTCCGACATGCAACTCGATCATCGCCCTAGAAAACACATCTCTGTCAGGCCTGAGCAACCACTGTTGTTTTGCAAATAAAAATTCAAATTCTCCTTTATCCGATGATTCAGCATTGGTTTCACTGATCTGAACTAGCTACGAGGAATGGTTAGCTTTGTCTAACAACTTCCATCTGTTTGAGCTTTGTGTTTGCAGACAAATCATGTATTGTATGGTCGCCGGGATCGCCACGGATCAACCGGTGCAGTGCTCCACGTACAGCACACCTATATATACTGCAAAATGGATACGGTGTTTGTTGGAAAAATATTTTGTAGAAAACACATATGTAGTGAAAATATGTAAACTACCTTTAGATCTAAAAATGAACACCTGAGATTTATACACATCATCGAGAGTAAAATTTTACTCCCAGACAATTTTTTGCTCATGGTTGAATTACGAGTAAAATTTTTATTCTCGATAACGCGGACAAATATTAGGCGCCCATTTCATAATTCAACGGTATATTTCTAGTTTGTATTACATATTTTCACCCCGAGGGTGAGTTGTTTCAAGCTGCTCCTCTGCTTTTTACTACTCCCTGTCAATAGGTTAATTAAGAGAGACATAACTCAATGTCAAAACAAGCTTACCTACCTCAATAACTACTAGGAAAAAGAACACCAAAGGTCCATCAACTTGTCATCGAGTTACGAAATCATTTCCTAACCGCAAAACCAGATATATAATATCCGTCAACTTACAAAACCGTTCACTTTAGGTTCTTCGATGGTTTTGACCCTGGTTTTATCCGACGTGGCGGCTGAGTCAGCGTGGACCCATGTGGGCCCCACATGTCAGGGTGTCCATGTCACCTTTCTTTCCCCTCTCCTCTCCCTTCTTTCTTCCGTCTCTCTTGCTGTTCTCACTCGTCCGAGCACGTTGTAGGAGACGCGGCCGGGGACGACGCCGAAGGAGGACTCCGCGGAGGCGAGGGTGGACTCGACGTCGTCGACACGGCTAGCACCGAAGAGCGCGGAGAGGAGCACGGAGAGGAGACGTTGGAGCGGGCAGCGGGCGTGGAGTCGGAGAACGCGCGGAGGGTGTTGTCGGGGCTCGAGAAGAGGGAGATGGCGCGGGCGAGAAGACCGGGGGACGCCGGGCGGAGTCGAGGAGGGCGCAGAGGAGCGAGGCGGCGAGGTCTAGTCGGCGGAGGCGCTGGAGACGGGACGCAGCGAGGGAGAAGAGCGGGCGGGAGCCGTGGAGGCGCGGGTAGTCGTCGGGGCGGGAGAGCGCGGTGGCAACGAGGGAGTGGGTGCGGGCTAGGTTGGCCTCGCCGCGGACGGTGAGCTGGAGGTCGAGGATGGAGGAGCACGTGGAGGCGGGGGGTAGGGGTCGAGGTGGGCAGCGGCGGGTGATCGACGTCGGGGAGCGTGGAGAAGCGGCGGATGAGGTGGGCGGGGACGCCGGCGGCGGGGAGCGGGTTGGGGTGGCGGCGGAGGAGGGAGGCCATGGTTGAGACTTGAGAGGAATGGTGGTTTGGGAATTGGGATCTCCCTTCTTTTTTCTCCCTTCTCTAGGGGAACTCGTCGAGGAGGGCGAGGCCATGGCGGCAGTCACCTCCTCCCCTTCTCCTGCATCGCCGCCGCCACCGCCGCGGTCGGGTCGCCTGTCGTTGGCCGCCGACGCCCTCCTCTGCACCTGCGGCCCCTGCAACTGCCGTCTCCCCTTCTCCTGCGTCGCTGCCACCGCCGCGTCGCACGTCGCCGGCCGCCAACGCCCTCCTGCTCTCCCGCCTCACCCGCGGCCTCCTCTCCACTCGCCGTCCGCCCTGCAGAATCCCAGATGAGAAGAGTGAGAAAGAGAGAGGAGGAAGGGAGAGAAGAGGGGAAAGAGGGAGGGCGATGACGTGGACACTCTGACTTCTGGGGCCCACATGGGTCCACGCTGAGTTAGCCGTCACGTTGGACAAACCAAGGCCAAAACCACCAAAGGACCTAAAATAAACGGTTTTGTAGTTGAGGGGTATCATATATCTGGTTTTGTGGTTGGTGGATGATTTTGTAACTCGATGACAAGTTAAGGGACATTCGGTGTACTTTTTCCTAACTACTAGTACTATAGTAGGGAGCTTTTAGCCCATCTGCATATAGTGGCCTGGCCCACGGAAGGCCTGTCCATTAATATGGGCCTTAGCCCTTCCTCTTTACCGAAAGCTTCACCTTTTGAATTGAGCCCATATGAACAAATAAGACACTATCCATGTTTTTTCCTTAAAGATAATAGAATTCATTTTAGTCTTTACTTTTTCTAAAAAAACTACTCCCTCCGTTTCCCACCGTTTCAACTTAAGTCAAAGTCAAACTATTTTAAGTTTGGCTAAGTTTATAGACAAATATAATAATATTTATAATACCAAATTAGTTTCATTAAATCAATAGTTGAACGTATTTTCATAAAAAATTGTCTTGGTTGAAAATGTTATTATTTTTTCTACAAATTTAGTTAAACTTAAAGCAGTTTGACTTTAACCAAAGTCAAAACATCTTAAAACCTAAAACAGTAGGAGTATAACCAATTATATAGAGGTTACAGAACGAACGATCAGGAATCACGAGATTATAATTAAAAGAATAATTAAAATCGCACCATTGATGTCTATACATTTCAATCTTTAATTTCTCGGCACAGTGGCATGCACTCGCGTTGCCTCCCAAAAAGCTCAAACAAGCTCAAACAGTTTTGATTTCGACATGCATAGATACAAGTTGTGGACAACTTCTTCAGGTACAGTGCTTACGTAGTTCAAGATTTCTTTATGATCTGCTTTTTTCTTTTTAATTATGGCCTTAATTTGATACTAGTATATATCAAGTGGTTCGCAACGCAATCAAACGAAAGTTGCAATCACGCGGGAAAAGCAGCAATGCTGAAATAGCTAGCTAGTTAGGCCTCTCAGAGTGTAGTGACGTGGACCAGGGCTACACCGCACCAGCGAGGATTTGTGCTTGCGTGGAGCATGGTCGCGCGCCCTAGCAGAGCCCCTTGGTCCCAAACAAGGACGCGAGGAACTTTCTCGCAGCGAGTCCACGTGCAGCAAGTTCCGTGCGCTATGGAGCACGTGACCCAGACGCGTCGTACCCTCACGTCGAATCCCCATCGCGAAATCCCCGATTCACCCTAAAAAATCCTCTCCCACCGCAGCTAATCTCCTCCTCCCGCCACCGATTCGTCCGCTCCACCGATATCCCAAGATTTCCCCAATCAAATCCATGCCTGTTAATCAAGAACCGAAAGAAATCAAGGTGGGGAAACAAATCAAGAACCCAAAGAACAAAATGAACAAAAAGAACAAGAACAGCGTCCACCGCCTCCTTTCTCCTACCTGTCTCGTCAGCCAGCCACTGCTGCCGGGGACGCCTCCCGCCGACGCCGCCGCGCCAGCCACTGCTGGGGACGACTCCCGCCGCCGCCGCCGGCGACGTCTCCCGCCACCGCTTCCCATCGGCGTCGCTGCGAGGGAGGAGAAGGAGGAGAGGCAGCGCGAGTAGTACTCGAGGAGAGGAGGCGAGTGCAGTTCGGGAAAGTGGAGGCGATGAAGTAGTACTCGATGCGATGATTCCTTTTCGTGGGGTCCACCGGCTGTGGGTTTGGTACTCTAACTATGGGTGCTTGCACTATAGGATGGGTGTACTTGGACCAAGTTTTGAGGCTAAGGCTATGGGTTTCATAGCTTACACTGTGAATGGCCTTAGCTTTCACAATTCTGAAACTATTTCTCCTCTTCTTCTGTTCATAATGTACGGACACTGCTGAGTGTCAGCACAACAATTTGATTAATGATGCATAGGAGAATGTTTTATGCTGAGCATGTAAATTGTTGAATACTTCCACATTAATATGCACGTAGTATGGGATTAAAAGCCAACACAATGGTAAACAAATTTCGGTATGGTATATCCTTCCCCTTATGTCTTGAGAATATGAGATAAGTTTAGTTAATTAATTTGGTTTTTTACTCCAATTGGTTAAAACGGATGGAATAAAATGAAAACTAGCTGGGTGGCCCGTGCAATTGCGCGGCTAGCACTATACAAAATTATATAATTTTTAATATGGTTTTACTTAAAATTTATTAAATAGTTATCTCGTTGTCTTAAGACTTTGCAAGACCAAACCTTATTATCCTCGTGTTTTTAATTTTATAGTTTTTAAAAGTCACATTAGTTGCTACCCCTTACTTCTGTCATATCCTTCTTTATTTGCTTGCTCGATCTACCACGATTTCTATTTATTCTTCTTGGAACCTTTAAAAATTAGATCTTATTGTTTTTAGAGTTTATTATCCCATTGGGCTCGTTTTTATAATTTCTAGAAGTCCCATCAAACACTATCATTATACTCCTCTACAGCCATCCACTGCCTCTTCTCTTTATTGTCATTGATATTTTTTAAAAAAACATAATTATTGTTTTAGTTCTTTTTTTTTACTTTCTAGAAGTTCCGCCAAAATGTCAACGACTTTGTCACTGTATTCCTCTACGGCTCGCCTGCTGCCTACCTTCTTTATTATCATTGAGATTTTAAAATCAAACATGATTATCATTAGGGTTTATTTCTTTACTTTTTAGAAGCCCGGACCTTTAAAAATTGGACCTTATAGTTTTTAGTTTTTAGAGTTTATTGTCTCATTTGGTTTTATTTTTTAAATTTTTAGAAATCCCGTCAAACGCTGCCACTATATTTCTCTATGACCCGTCTGCTGACCAGTTTTTATTGTCATTGGGATTCTAAAAATCGAATATAATTATCGTTGGAATTTATTTTTTACTTTCTAGAACTCCCACCAACCATCGGCAGCTCTGCCATTGTACTCCTGTACGATTCGTCCGCTGCCTCTCATTTTTATTATCATTGATATTTTAAAAATCAAATATGATTATCATTGGGTTTTTTGCTTCACGACTTCTCTGTCATCCTTCCTTTTAATCGTCATTAGCATTCCATTTGGTGTTTTATTAATAGTTTTTAGATATCCCATCAACCGCCACCACTCTACTCCTTTATAGGCATGTTAATTAATTAATCTCATTATGTGTTATAGATTACTCTGAAGATTAAAATAAATCATAATTCCAATAATTGAACTTCCCATGGTAATATACTAATATGTGCTAACCTCACTGTTTGTTTAATGTAGGTTTAGAGAGTAATATGACATGCTAAGCTGCTAGCATCTCATTGATGTGCTAATTGGGTTTAGTCAATAAGATGGATGCGTCCAACACCTCGCATGCATGTGTTATCGTCGTTTGTTTTTCATGTGTGCACGCATCATATTGTCATGGGTATGGTGCATGAGACAGACACGGATGCTAGTTTTACAAGTCATTACATTACTACTCAGTTACCGACTTACGACTTAGCTTAATCAGAGAGAAAATTAGATTTCTATTCTATTTATATACTGTTAGTATTATAGTCGTATAGTTGTATTTCCTATAAAACCTTTTCTATTTAGAAATATATTTTGTCTTTTTTTCCTTTTCCCTCTTATTAACGTGAACAAACTTTCGCGTTTATATCACTTCAAAAATTAATTTCCTATTCTGATTTGGAGGCAAGGTCAGTGTCTGTGTCAGGATGTCATGCAATTGGTTCAATTGCTATACGGTTTCACACTCTTATCCGTTTCATCTCTTTAACTTTTTAAATTTTAATTAAATCTTAATAGTTAATATTCAGGTATACCACAATCCTATGCATGGTTGGTATTTTCTTTATTTTGTTTAATTAACGTGATAATTTCTTTAGAGCGAATATAGCACAATTTAAGCGCATAAATATTTTATTATACATGCATGTATAATTAGATTTAGTGTACAACACTTATCTTCTGTTTCTATAGATAAAATTATAGCATTGTAATTTAGTCCTACCATAACCTATTGGAATATATTTTAATCTACCTTTGAGCGTTTAATTATGCTTGTTCTTTCGTGGATGAACATGCATGACTCTAATTACCTCTAACGCCATATGAATGTCCGATTCCAATTGCAAATCTCACTACAAATTTACAGGCTCAAATGGCCATACGCATGCATGCAAATAGATGCATGTCCGACTCCTAGTCAAATTAGTCCAAATACATGCATGTCCAATTCCTAGTCAGTCTCTCTAGATGTTTTTTTTATTTGAACTCACGTATTTTCCTGCTTGATCTAGACCATCAAAATCTAGACAAATACGATCCAACGACACATATATTTTTCTTTTTCTCCGAATAACATGGGAATTTCTAATCCCCACAGCGAACGTGATGCCTCCTTTCAAAGTTGTTTTAATAATATGATAGATAGATAGATAGATAGATAGATAGATAGATAGATATGCGTTAAGATTTACATGCATGGGTTATATTTGAATTATAACCTGTGAAACAATATACCTTATTATATTTAAGTAGAAAAATGATTTTTTTAATAATAGTATCAACGATGGGTTTAATAGATTCATGCCGGCCGGTTTGCGCAAACCTTTTGCGAGTTGGACTAAAAAATTGGCTTACAACTTTTACCCCACCTGGCCCACATCCAGCACACATACCTTTAAAATTTTCTATATATAAAGTTTTTATAGAGAATCTAAGTTTCTACTAAAATGTCATAGCTAAATCAGAATTGGATGTGTCCGCATACATGCATTTCGAAAATGTTTCTCGAGGAAAACTTTGTGTATAATAAAGTTTCTATGTGAAAAAAAGTTTTGGTGTATAATAAGAAATGTAAATACGTGCTTATGATAAATTCACTTAAGTGACGCGCACACGCTGTAAAATCAAAGGTGTTTTTATTATTATTCTGTGATGAACAATTGGCATTGGAGATTATGGTTTTGTTATTTGGAATTAATTCACGAAGTGGTTTTGGAGATGATTGGATTTTACAGGTGAATCGCATGTTCTGTTATTTCATGTGACCGGTCAGACCGGGCTCTGGTAGCCAGTCAGACCGACGATATGCGCGCGGTCAGACCGGCCAGCCCGCGGTCTGACCGGCCGACTTTGTGTCGGTTTCGGTTTCGGGTTGTTTGTTTGGATATCCGTGATTATTTCATGATTATGGCTTCTAGATGGATACTATACGTATATAATACTGTTGTTTGCTACTAATGAGTCAAGTTGTGATAGCTTAGTCTCGGAATATGGTTTCTTTGTTTATTTCATGTGTAGGTGACTCGATGCCTCGGGAGAGTATTTGCGGTGATGGACCGGGAGTCGGCTTGGCGATAATACGACGTTCGTGGTGGTCAGAGATCATGCGGGATACTTAGGCTAGAGTTGATGCACGTGGTTGATAGAGATTCCATATGGCATACGATGGAGTTATTGTGTGCGTATGGGATGCGGAGTCGAATTTGGAAGGAGTCTAAATTTGGTATGATTGGTTATGTAAAGTTTGTTTCTTGTACTAGAGGGTTTCCTAAGGTGTTTAGGACTCCTAGTATGAGTTTGGTTCGTGGCTTTAGGCTGCCTACCTCGGGTATAAATAGAGGGGGAGCGTGAGGCTTCCCGGTATCGCTTTTGGAGAGCAATTGAGTTGAGTTTTGAGTTAGGGTTTCGAGTTTAGTCGAAATTTTTGTAAGGAGTGCTGTTGGTGCACTTTGTAAACACAAAGAGAATCAATAAAGTCGTCATCTACTTTAAGAGTTCTTCGAGTTGTGTTTCACCGGGTATCGGCGGTCTAACCGGCGACACACCGGCGGTCAGACCGGCGGCATCGCGGCGGTCAGACCGGCGGGACTACGGCGGTCAGACCGGCGGCGGCGACAGCGAGCGGCAGCTGATCTCGGCGGTCAGACCGGAGATTCAACACCGGTCAGACCGGCGGCATCCACCCGGTCAGACCGACTTCCGTCGATTTCGAGGGTAACTTTTATTTCCGCTAAAAGTTTTCGGTTTTTGGGTATACCAACCATTCACCCCCCCTTTGGTTGGCTTAGTTATTGTGATTCGATCCTACACACGCATTAGACTTTTATTAACAGAGTGCGTATGACTCTATGGTCGTTAAGTCTTTTTTTTTAAAAAAAATATTTTATTCAGTTTTATTTACAATAAAATCAACATCGGATTTAAATTTTCCTGACTTTCCTCGGAAAACAATCGAGACTTTTCAGTTTTGCTGTTTTGGAGTTGTACGTTTCCTCTACAAACGAAATGGAGCCAATTCTTCTGCCTGTTTTCTTTTTCGCGAACGCTTCCTGTTTTTTACTAGCCCCTAAAATGGATGATCAATCGTACCAACAAAATAATAAACCCTACGACACGTTATTGCATCATCGACAATTGATCATTATTATGTCCGACTCGTTACATACGACAGATGATGTGATTAATTAAAACTGCAATTTGCAAATAACAATTACCACATCTTTAACGAATTCCGCCATTTAAGTAGCTAGTTCACTAATTGTAATTAAGCGCTAACTAACCATTTGGCTAGTGCACTGGTAATTACTAAACTAAGGAGATTATGATCAAGTTGTAAAAGGATCCAATAAAGCGATTACTTATTAGAACTCTAATTAACCTGTTCAACCTAACCTTTTGTCATTATTTTGGTTTGGAGTTTGTGTTGTCTAGCGTGATTAATCATGCGTGTAATGTGCGAGAGCTGCAACTTAACGAATCTTGTCTCGTTGTCATTGGCCAGAGTCAGAATTAAACACAGACGTGCATTTGGGTTTTTGCTGTGTTAATTTGTCATAAGATTCACCAAATGGTTCAATTCTCACTTATGCTCTGTTCACGAGTCTCTGTCTCTTCCATAGCTCATGGATGCCAGGGCGGCAGGGCATGTTCATCTCAGTCATCAACTGACGAAAGTAGTACGTATGATCAGTCGACAAATTGTTCGCAAACCTTAATTTGGTGGTAAACCTGTATTCTCTTTTCACTAGATATTACAAAAAAAAAAAAGAAGATCTCTTTCTTTTTTACGGGAGAAGAGCCGGTGAGCAGGCGGCAATGAGGCGGAGGAGCGCGGCGTGGGCTTCGGGAGCGTAGGGGCGTGACGATGCGGTGGAATCAAGATCTCTTTCTTTTTACCGTAGGGATGTGGAAGGATCTCCTTGTAAAAAGAAGTTTCGTGAACCGATTCAACAATCCAACGGTTTGTATTGTCTGGAGTGAATATCCGACGGCTCATGTTTATTCAATGACGTGGCCATAGTAACTTTGCAAGAAAGTTTAGTACTTTCATTACTTTAGATTAAAAAAAAAGATTTGGAGGGAGGGACATTCCTCCAAACATTTTTTTAAAAAAAAAGAAATTTTGAGCGTATTGTGGATTCAACACGGGACCGTAGTGTTGAAATCACATACCCCTTGCTACTGCGCTATCAAGTGCATCTCATTAGATATTTCTGTTATTGAGAGATGGAATACAGAATTGTGTCACTAGGATCATTTGCATATCAAATTATCAATGCCAAGTGGCAGTGCCAACTTTTGTGTGTGCAAGCAACAGATCTTGACATAAATCATCACGAGGAAGATAACATTCCAAGTTTCGGATTCTGTAACCTAGATATAGAAATGTCTGTAACTTACTAGCATAGGCCGGTGGTTGTCGAATAAATTAATCCTTTGTTGAGCATCGCAAGGGAGTGTGTGGGGTATGATGAAATCAAATTCATGGCTAGGAATATATAGGACTTAGGAGGATCCTTCCATGGCCAAATTGTGCATTGTCAGGACTCAGGACATGCTTTTCATAGCTGTAGAAGGAGCTTTCATCCATGTTTTTCAAAGAGCAATTAGCAAGCAATAAAGGATCCAAAACCACAGAATTGGATTAAGTTACGGCCACTAGCGAATTGTCCATGCATTCATATGCGAAAAGCGAGGGTTTATTGACAGCTGTTGAGATATTGTGAGCAATTAACCAGATCGATGTTACGCATGCGCGACTGTGACCTTGCTAGGAATACTCCACTTCACCCACCCACTAAAGCAAAATTACTTCTTTTTTGGTTTAGCAGAATCTTGGGCTTTAACAATTGCACGAGTAATTATTCCAAGCGATTACTGATTACTGGGTAAGGAGAGATCAGCAGCGTGCTTGGGGAAATAATGAGATGTATGCTAAGATGGACACAGCGATGGAGAGCAGCCTAGTGCAAATGAGTGACATTGGACTATTTATACAAGACAACTGTTCTTGTAGGAAGATGAAATGGACGGTAGGAATCGCAAGAAATTAAACTTAGGACATCTGGAAAGATCAATTGGAAGTTTCCGACACTCAATTGCACCCTACATAACAGTTAGAACTGACCGAATCAAGTCAGTGTGGTCATATGCATGCAGGCATGTTGGAGTAAAAAAGAAATTAATTGTCAGTATAACAGCGTGTGCATTGACTGAGTAGTTGCAGTTTACCCAAGTATTATCACGTTGTGACAAGCACAAGTAGTACTAATTAACAGTGGACCAAATGAAACCGTGTTCCGCGGCTCATTCCTTTGTTAGAAGCTAGCTAGGTAAGGTTGTTCTTCCTTTGCAAGCAGGCAGAGGAATATATGGCGCACATTCAGAATGTTGAGATGCCACGCATTCATGCAGCCACATATATAGATAGATAGATGTACACGCACGATCGACTCACACACACGGTTAAAAGAGGCGCATCCATCCATCGGTCGAACTCTGAAAAGGAATCATCAGTCGTTGCTGCATCATTTGTCATATCGGTTATTCAGAGACCGGAGGAGTATATATAAGCAGGTGAGGCCGGCAATGACGAGGTCAGCACTGACGAGTTAAGCATTGCACGCGCACTACATCTCTCGTCCAACGCCAAACTCTCTCTCTCTCTCTCTCTCTGCAGATAGATAGGTAGATCGCATCGCAGCGAGGAAGAAGATCGATGAGTCGGATACACCCTTCGAATCAACGCCAAGATGCCGCCGCCGCCGCCGCCGCATCAACGGCAGCAGCGCGAGCGGCGGTGTACACGGTGTGGAAGAGGTCCAGCATGGGCTTCCAGGGCACCGACGGCTTCTCCGTCTACGACCACGCCGGCACCCTCGCCTTCCGTGTTGACAACTACTCCCGCCGCCGCAAGCTCTTCTCCGGCGACCTGCTGCTCATGGATGGACATGGCTCGCCTCTCCTCGCCCTCACCCCACAGGTATATACACTTGTCTATCTTCTAATCATTCATGATTCATCCCCTGCAAAATCTTGCATTTGCATCTCAGATTAATTAATTAATTAATTAATTAATTAATTAATTAATTACCTCCTATAGGCTATATTCATGCATCTTTGTGGTTGTATACTAGTATTACCTGACACCTGACAATCAGTATAATATTTACGTACGGTTTCGGTCGATATATTGAGTTAGCTGTTAGCATGCATGAACGATCGTCGATCGATCGTCAATTCATCATACATTCAACCGATCGATCGTCAATTCATCATACATTCAACCAAAAATCGTTTATATTCTGCTCGTCAATCATCCTCGTCCGAATGTAGACTTCATTTTACATATCTTCTCTCAAGATATAGAACGATCACCAAGTTTGCTTCCAAAACTTCACTGAAGACTTTTAAATACTGCAAATCCTGCTTTGCCGAGAGCCCCGAGAGTAGTGTTTCGTCCATCAACCCGATCTTTCATTTTCTCGATTTTTTTTTAAAAAATGTATCTCCAGGCTTTCACTGTTTCCTCAAAATATTCACCAAATCACAAGTATATATATGTTTGTCTCGTCTATTTGTCTCACAAATACTAAAAGATACCATAGCTCACCAAAAAGATTTAAGGCAAATTATCGTGCATGCCGACGGTTTTTAGGCAAATGCTATCAACTACCTCCACTAATACATCTAGCTAGGAAAATAATTAGTCTAAACACTTGCAGACAAAATCAGCTGACCAAAGACTAAAATGCATTGCTTTCATCGTTCCAGCCTCGGTTATTCTGATGCTGTTTTGCTTTAATTTGCCCAAAATCCCATATAGAGTTAAAATCAAAACTTAAAAAATGGAGAGGTTACAATACAGAGTTTGATTTATCCGCTAGTTCATTCTACTTTCCGACTGAAGTTTTGTTACCTCTTATTACAAGTGCAGCAGATGGGCCAAAGAACAGAAACCAACCATTAATAGAACCCATGGGGAGTAAGTAAGAACTAAGAATTTTCTTTTCCTTTCTTCTGTTGCAACAGATTATCAGCATGCATGACCAATGGAATTGTTACAGAGCGTCAGAAGAAGGCCAAGGCAAGAGGACAAGATCACAACAACTCTTCTCAATGAGAAAATGCTCAGTTATGCAAAGCAGTCATGAAGCAGAAGTGCACATGTCAGGATGTACCCATGCTTCGTCAGATCGTACTGGCCATGTTCCAGGCTTCTCAATCGAGGGCAGTTTCAGGAGAAGAAGTTGCAAGATCCGCAACAGCGTCGGTGAGGAAGTCGCAAGGATAACGAGGAAGAAGGCTGGAGCAGCATCGTTGTCACTGACTCTTGCTGAAGATGTTTTCAGTCTTGAGGTCCAACCGAATGTAGATTGTGCGATGATCATGGCTTTCGTCATTGCTCTCGACCGGATCTGCTGGAAGCCATACACACCTATGATCTGTTCTTCATAGTTCAAGGTGATGAGCTCTATTTGACATGTAGGAAAATAGATGTTTCAATTCAAGTGAAATCGACGAATTAACTCAAGAAGCTAGTATGAGACTGTAGTCACTAATTGTACTGTCGATTGACTGGGACTAACATAACATGTAACTTGTTCTAAATTTGACTACTTAAGAAAGGAAGATCGAATTTGCAGATTGAATCAAAATCTCTTGCTTCCTCCTACTGCAACTTTTTTTTTTTGAAATGCCTGAAACATGTATTTCAAGTTGCAGTAGGATGCTTTCCTACTGCAACTTGAAATGCATGTTTCTTTTCCCATGTGGTTCCTTTAATCCACTTGTTACCAATTGTGAGCTGTTACCAACTGTTTGGGCAGTATCATTTTAATGCTATCCACCTAGAAGCACCATCAGAGCAAAGCACTATTCATGCCCAGGACAATGCAAAGGACAAAAGTGACCAAAGTTTGTTGAATCCTAAAAGAGAAATGCTCAAAATAATAGAATTAAGATATAAGCAATGACTTCAGCTACCTTTAGCAGTATAAAGCAAGTTGGGTATACTCACACTGAAGAAGAGGCAAAACTAGTGTCCTCCACGAAGAGAGAGCCGGAGAAGGAGATGGTGAGTATCCATGCTTACGTGTTACTCGATTTCTTCAAACCAGCACTGTGTTTCATTTGCATTGTACATGTGCTTAAGATTTGCAGTCCCTCTCAGAAAGATTCGAAAGATATCGACAATATACTGCAATAAGATAGCGTGTTAGTGTACTAAGAAAGTTTTGTTTATACCAAATATTAGAAGAATCAATAATATGGACAAATCCCAGGGAATATTACAAACAACTTATTTGTCTTATACTCACCAGTCTTTATTTATTTAAGACACTTTTGATTTGTTTGCTAGATGCATAAACAAACAAAGCATGAAAGCAATACGGTAATAACACATATATGGTTATTAATTGTCACGCCCCGAACTAGCCCCGAACGAAACTAGCCCGTGACGCTCCAAATTAACCTGTTAATCGATACTAGTCCAAGAAAACAGTGCTGGTATCACAGGAAGATAGAATATCACAGCAACAGAGGTCTCTTTATTACATAGTAGGAGTACAGTCATGTTGGGCTGCGGACAGATCCCGAGCTCACAACTGCATTACAAAAGGGAAAGCGGAAGCCAAGACTTGGACCAATCATCACAGGCGCGACTTGGGAACTAGACCGAAACCCTAAAACTCATCGTAGCCGACTTGCTCCTGGAAGAACTCCTCGTCAGCGGGATCCACTTCATCTTCTTCAGCAACTGCGGGGAGGGGGATTATTTATATAGAGCAAGGGTGAGTACATGAGTACTCAGTAAGCCATGGGAATTAAGTGTTTAATGCAGGCTTCAAAGGAAAGGCTATTGTTTTTGCAATTGATTTTATTTAAACTCCTTTTTGAAACAACTAAGTGAGTGCTTCTCAAACGACACGGATGAGGCAGTGCGTCTCGTCCGGTCGGAGTATGTGCAATGTATCAGTCTTTGAATTGATTCAAGGTTGGCACCCGGCCAACGGCTTTCAAACGGCCACCCGGGCCTGGCTGATCCCATCAGCCGCAGATTTTCCAAACATCGAACCCATTCCACAACAGTATTTTCACAAGCAGTAGTCAAACAAAACTACGCTAGGAATCACCTCACATCCGCCCATGACCGTGGGAACGGCTGTTCGAACAGTTTAATAACCTCTGCAGAGGGGGTACACTTTACCCACACGACATTACTAACCCGGATCACCCAGCCCGTGCAGAACGGCCACGTCTGGAGACCTTGAGGCTTTCATGACAAGGCATTTCGAAAGCCGACACAGGTTCACCATATGCCAACGAGAGGGGTCCCAGACCGACATCAGGTTAGGTCCCAGACCATACAGTGCTAGGAAGCCCGGGGGTTCTCCCCGGCACCACCCCGTTGAATCCACATGTCTCTTGGCATCATGGTTCCCCCGATTAGCTAGTTACTCAGCCAGGGGGTGTCCTATTCCACCCATGTGGTCGCACTTGCCTTATGTTCGGATGAAATTCCAAGGAAAACGGTCCTTAAGTGCAAGAGCGGGAAACCGCACTCCCGGTACGTTCCCCGATCCGCGATTTTGGAAATTCATTTAGTTCGCAAGCACCGACCCAGGTGTCGGGTTTTTCCAAGTCTTTTGTAAAACCCCAAGTTTTACCCATCGTTGGATATTTTAAATTTGAGGGGAGGTGTCCCGATGCGCGTGCCCGAAGGCCCGTGCATCGAAGCACAACAGTCGACAAAGGAGGTTTAAGTGTTCAATAATTCAAGGAGGGTAATTGCAGCAATTAGGATTGGGGGCCGGCAGGCTATTGTAGCGCCCGTTCCGTCGTGGTGCCTAGCGGGAAAACTATCTCTTAAAAACCCTAATTGCGAAATCTGTTTCTTTGCTTGTTGTCTAGTGACCGTGCCATCTCAGATCTCAAATCCCCGATCTATCGTCAAGTTCAATCCCGAATCCAAATTCTTCCCAAATCAAATCCCTCCGCAAAAGTCTATTTTGCCTCCCTCGGGTTCGATGGGCCGAATCCCTCTCGGCCCATCTCCCCCTCCCTCCCCGGCTCTCTCTCTCCCCGCTCTGCCGTGAGCCACGCCAAGTCCTCCCTCTCCGTTCTCGCTGCCGTTCCCGCGCCTGCCGCCCAAATCGCTGCGCCGCCCGCGTGCGCGCGCGCCGTGGTGGCCGACCGGCCAGTCGCCGCCGCCGTCAGCGCCTGCCGCGCCTGCCCCGCGTCTGCCGCCCGTGTCGCCGCTCCACTCCAAACCGGTCCGCCGTCATCGTCGTCGTCATCGACCCGGCCCCGCTACCTCCGCGCGCTAGCCTCCAAGGGACGGAGGCAGAGCTCCTCCTCCCTCTGCCGCGTCGCCCCCGCTCCCTCCTCCTTTTCACAAAGTGGCAAGGGGCAAGCTCCCTTTCTCCCTTCTTTTTCCTTTTCCCCTCCCCGCCGGCGTCATCCACCTCCTGTCGCCGCCTTGGCCGCGAGCGCCGAGCGCCGGCTCGCGCCTTGACCGCCCAAAGTCGGTTTCCAAACCGACATTGCCGCCCTTTAAACCCAGGCGCCCTCCCTTCCTCTTTTCCCTCCCAATCCTCCCCGTTTCTCGTCCGCGCCATTGCCGTCCCTCTCGCCAACCGCCGCCGTCGCGTGTGCCGGAGGAGCCGGTGCGCGCTAGGACGCGGAAGAAGACTCCGGGCGCTCGTCTTCTTCCTCTTCCCCGGCCCGAGGCCGGAGAGATCACTCTCGTGCCGTCGGCCTCTCGTCACTGCGCCCCATCACCCCCGCACGGTAGTGCCTCCCTCCGTTCTCCTTCCTCGTTCCATCTCCTCCCCTTAGACTCGGGTAGTAGCACGAGTAGCCTCCCCGTAGCTAACAGGCGCTGCCCCGACCGTTGCCGCCGCCCGCTGTGTGCTCGCCGCCGTCGCCGCCCGTGCTCCATAGCGCCCGCTCGTCGCCGGGCTCGCTCGGCGCAGCTCCGCCCAATCCTGATCAATTCAAAAGACTGATACATTGCACATACTCCGACCGGACGAGACGCACTATCTCATCCGTGTCGTCTGAGAAGCACTCACTTAGTTGTTTCAGAAAAGAGTTTAAATAAAATCAATTGCAAAAACAACAACCTTTCCTTGAAGCCTGCATTAAACACTTAATTCCCATGGCTTGCTGAGTACTCCCGTACTCACCCTTGCTCTATATAAATAATCCCCCCCAGTTGCTGAAGAAGATGAAGCGGATCCCGCTGACGAGGAGTTCTTCCAAGAGCAAGCCGGCTACGATGAGTTTTAGGGTTTCGGCCTAGTTCCCAAGTCGCGCCTGTGATGTTTGGTCCAAGTCTTGGCTTCCGCTTCCCTTTTGAAATGCAGTTGTGAGCTCGGGATCTGTCCGCAGCCCAACATGACTGTACTCCTACTCTATAATAAAGATACCTCTGTTTGCTGTGATATTCTGTCTTCCTGTGATACCAGCACTGTTTCCTGGGACTGGTATCGATTAACAGGTTAATTTGGAGCGTCACGGGCTAGTTCCGCTCGGGACTAGTTCGGGGCGTGACAAGAGATGGTATCAGAGCACAGGCTTGGCCCTAGGGCGAAACCCGACGTTTAGGACGACCCTAAGGATACTAAGTTCAAAACTACTTGCGAAAAGCTAAGGCTTCTTTTGGTTTCTTTATTTTCAGTAGTGTTGCTAAAATGGTTACTGATCTTTTCTCCCTCTTTCAAAATTGTAGATGGCAGTGAACGCCAGCTTCAGTTCCCACGGTTTTGGTGAGGGTCACCACGTCGCTCAGCTTCGTGACCTCGCCCGCTTCCTTGGCTTCTCATGTCCCGAGTACACGGGGTACTCCGTGGACCGTGTTCCCCCTCGCTGTGAGCTCTCTGTGTACCTTTACCCTCGTGGAGGTATACACGGAGCTGGCCTTCGCCCACACCACTTCACTATGGCCAGGCCCACTCTCCAGATCGCGTACCAGGACCTCTCCTGGACTGCGCTTTGTCGTTTGGCCCACGACTACAGCCACCGTCTTGGGGGCTCTGCCTTCCGGCAGCTCCCACACCTTCCTTCTAGCCACGCAGACGCCAGGTACCCTTGTCCGTACAACGAGTCTCAGCCAGTGCTGACTCGCATGGTTGAGCTTTCGGAGGCTCAGGCCACTCAGCACAACCTACTCCTCGAGGCTTACTGCTCCCTTGCCCGCCGCTACGCCGCTCTGGAGGCCCATCTGGCCGAGGAGGGTGTCACCTCAGTTGACACTGTCTCTTGGGACTCAGGCCGCCTCTGCCACGCCAGCCACCTGTCCTCCCACAGCTCTCGCGGCTCTGCCCGCACTCCCAGTGGCCCGCGCTCCCCCAGCTCGCGTGCGCCGTACTCACAAGTGTACTCCCCCTACCCACACCCAGTTAGCCCCTCCTACACCCCCGGACACACCCCAGTTGCTTCCTCCCGCCGTGGCCCACGCTTTATCCGCACTGCGCGGAAGCGTGTTGTTGGTTCTTCCACCGTGTTCTGCTTCGACTACCCAGCTCCCCCACCGCTAGCGGCCCGTGCTGTTGGGGGCCCTCGACAGGTTCCGCCGGTCCCTTCGCGTCAGCCGATCGACGTTTCTTCGACTGAGGAGCCGACTACAGGAGGCAGCCAGGCAGACGAGGAGTAGAGGAGGCAGTCTTC